GGGCCATATTTGAGGTATATCTGTGGCTATTATGACTTTGTCTGAAACCAATGACTTTTTCCCCTCTCTGCACTCTGCATGATAGTAGCTAGTAAGCATCATGGATTAATTTAAGTCCAGTATATAGGGTATAATAAATGTCACCTACTATACATTGAGACAAAATGCTAAGTACACCATAATCATAGCCTATACAGTTAACAATGTCAGACAAGCCTGCGTTTACTCTGCCACATCCACATGTCTACCTCATTTCTCTGCAGTCCACACTACACGCCATCCTGTGCAAACACAGGAGGAGGCAATGTTGAGCTTTTTACACAGATGTGAAGGTATTCTTTCATGGATGTTTCTTGTTAATAACTTCTTCTCCATTTGTTCCTCAGTCAAAGAGGGAGGAGAAAGGATGAGAAAAAAAACAACCTCTTTTGCTCTGTGACCTATGCCTGAAGCTGACTCTCATTCTCTGACCATATCATCACTCACACTGGCTGCTCAGTGCACATTATCAGTGCACACAGTTTCAACAGGGACTCCTATGAGTCCCTGTTGAAACTGAGCACCAGACTTTGTGATCTTACTAAACTGTGAGCCATGATTCCATTGTTTCCTGGTGAAGATAGGGACCATAATGCAACAGTCTCCTAAGACCTCTGTGTGTTACGGAACTCTGTTTTTATACTGATTCAGGCAGGTATGACAGCCGAATCAAGTGTCAGAAATATATGGAGATAAAATACTATCAAAAATGTTACAAATGCGTGTTTAACGTTTTGTCTGTAACAAGCGATTTGTGTGTGTGTGTCATGAGGTTCACAAATGCGTCCTGCGCAATCTGCACGTATAAAGCCATTTGTGTGTGTGTGTCATGCTGTTCACAAATGCATGCTGTACAAACTGCACATAAAACACATTTTACAAATGCTTAAAATCGATTTTTTTGTGTGCAGTTCTTTAGAAAGTACGTACACATTGTTACCTACGCATGCGTGGATCGTCTAACACACACGAATCACCTTCCGCGCACACACGGATTTTTGAGAGTGTTTTTCCGCACTCTCAAAAGTCCACGATCCACGAATGCACGGTGCGTTTAAGGACACGTGGAAAACTCGGACATCTGAGTTTCCAAACCTGTTTCCCAAACACAAGTATTTACACAACGCTATTCCAAATGGACATTACATAAAATAAACAAAAATATCTAATACATAACACGTTTTAACAGAGAACATTCCAGTTGCCTGCAGTTTGTGGTGCATG